TGGAACAGCCACACATTTAGCAATCAATCCAATGTGGATGCAATTTATGTGTATTACATGGGCACATGCATGTCTGTCTGTATGTGTGTATGGGTTGAGTCCAGTGATGCCTAAATTGCCTATATGGTCTCATGAGGCTTTAGGATTGACAGAGAGCTCCAGAGTGGAGCGGCTGTGAACAAGTTTGCTCCATTACAGCCAACGCTTTTAGCCTGATATGTTGGCTCAGCAGCACTCACTTATCAACTGATCAATAAAGGAAAGTTGAACCAAACTTCTTTAGGGGGGCCAACACTTAAAGCACAACCATCCACTTCAACGAGAGGTTGCTTTGCTTGGGTGATTTGCCTTTTAGTTTCCTGTTTCCAACATAAATTGTCAGGAGATGTTTATTTTATCCAATCATATCCAAATCAAACCTCTGTGACCTTCACGAGTATTTCTGCATCTGATGTTTTCCCTCTCCACATGACTGGGAACGCTGTGGCACAGATAGTCTTAATTCAATTCAGCTGCTATTTAAAACTTTGTTGAGCAGACATGGTTCACTGCGAAACTACATGAAAAAATGCAAATGAAAAATCAGATGATTTAGGGTTGTGATGAACAGGTAATGAATCGATCTGCAGAAAATAATTCTGCAGCTATTTTTTATATGAATCAACGAAGGCAATTAACAAGCAAAAGTGCCAAATATTTCGCAGCTCGATGACAAAACAAGACATTTGATGAATTCCCAATGGCCTCGAGGAAAATAGTGGGCATTTTTCTGAAGCTTTATACCGACCAATTTATTATTTAATCAAGAATAAAATCTGCAGAATAATTGATATGAAGATAATTGTTTGTTGCAGCTCTAAAATAATTAAACTAGACATGGAGTCCAAGCTAGATTTAGTGCAAGAAAAACCCCACTCTCTTAAATTGCCCTTTCAGGTTTCTGAGTACTGTCAAACTTAGCATTTGTGGGTGAACCGCATCAAGAGAAAGACTGGAGCTACTTTAGTTTGCAGAAGAAACCTTTTACCCACTCTACGCCGCCTCCCCTCAGCCTTTAAAAAAGTAGTGGCCGACGGGTGAATAACTGATCAGCTTAATGTTGCCCTGTGCCTTCAACTGTTCATTATTGCAAGCACATACAAAATAGTCAAGCTGCATTAACAAACCTAGGTAATCTGTTTTTAGGACCGCCATTGTGTAGATGAATATCACTGGGCACTATCAATATGAAGCAAGACAGATGGTGAGTGGGAAGGATTTTTCCTCTGCGTTGGTGTATAATGGTATCAACTCCTCTCATCTTAGGCAGAGCGGAGGCATGTTGCTCCGAGGGGAAGCTCATCATATCCCTTTGTGTTTTACAGTTTCCTTGCTGTTGCAGTGAAAATAAAGCTGTTAATTATCCCTGTAGTGGGTAGTATAAGGTTTCATAACAAAACAGAGATTAAGCTTTCCAGGGTCAACTTGGAAACCGGCTCGTGTGCTAAACAATCAGTAGGGGAACTGCAGAGTTGCCATGGTGACAGATGCAGATTTCTCAATCATTATAAAACCAATACATTATGTACTCTTTGGATGTTGTAAATGTGTACATCTGACAGGGCCACTATGTCATTCTGACGCAAAGTCATGAAGCCTCACTGCTGTCTCCACTCAAGTTTAATCGCTTCCAGGCTCAGAGACGGTGTCAGCCTCTCTCCCCCCCTTTCTTTTTGTCATACGCTATCTCAGCAGATGTCTGGAGCTGGTTAGAAACCGTGTTTCTGCGGCTGTGTGTCTGCACTGCGACCCCTAAACCCTGGCCTGACTGAACCTGAGCAGGGAATACAGGTGAACACAAACCTCCAGGCCTGGCCCTTGTTAGAGGTCAGAGAAGCTGGGGTTGGGGTTATCACATTTGCTCAGCGTCATATTCACCTCCTTTCTCTTCCCTCCAGCTGGGGACCCTCAAAGTTTGAGTGTGCGTTTAACAGCTCCAGTAATAAATTCAATAGCTTTCGGATGCAGATATTTTTGTCTTCCCCTGCTAAGACACTCCAGAAAGAGCCGAGGTTTGAACTCATACTGCTGCACATGTCGTCTTACTATCTAGGACCCATCCAGTGTTTGTTCAAAGAGTCTATTCCTCACAGGATAGAGCCATCTACCTTCTCTGCACCCCTCTCTGCTGCTTGTCTCTTCCCCTGTTAGCCCCCCAGCCTGCCAGGCTCAGATCTCCTTACACTCTCCAGCCTTTCATGTGAATGTGGGTGGGAGCAGAGGATGGGGAAATTGGCCACCCTGGGATCACACACACACACACACACACACACACACACACACACACACACACACACACACACACACACACACACACACACACACACACACACACACGTACGACACGACGACGACGTAGTAGTAGTAGTAGTA